TACTTGAATTTGGGAGCTTGCAGTTAATCAGAAAAACAATTAAAAACACTTCATACCCTGTGGTCAGATAACAAAATATCTGATAGCTGCAATTTTTTTTTTTTCAAGTAGTTGTTTTTGCAATTAGTGAAGAAATAGTGACCGAAAAAGAGCTAAATTTAGATTAGAGATTTGTAAACTGGGCTTCTTTGTTTTTATTTTAATTGTATTATGTGATAATTCTGCATTTTAATTGGCACTTGCATATCAAGATGATAGGCACCTTAAAGTACAACGACAGAAGAATTTGCAATAAAGACACTGTCAGAAGAAGAGACAAAACTATTTTATGCATAACAGGTTAGGCATAACATGGGTAAGTACAATCCTGAAGAAAGCAAGACAATCCTACCCCTGCCACCGTTTAGTGTCAAGCCATTAGAAGAAGAAGAAGAAGAAAGGAAATCAATGATATTAGATTATATGATTTTTATACTCAATCATACGACTCATTCCTCTTATTTGAGCCTCTGCGCCCTGTTTTCTCTGAACACTCGCGCCCACCACATTTTTTGTGACGGCGTATTTCGTATGGTGTATGTCGCAAACCCCCTTCTATACAGGTAACTCTTACATATTTCCAGACAGCGGGAGCAAACGTGCCATCAGCTTATTCTACGGAGTTCAAGGCACCGAAGCTCTGATTCCCCTCACGGTTTCGCAATGTACCAGTAAAGTACATTTTGCTGGAACAAGGTGAGATTACATTTTCATTTTAAGTGCAAAGACCAAGGACTGAGGTTACGCCACCAGTGACATAAATTACTGGATATTAATAAAAGTGTGACTATTCAGATTCAAATGGAAATCAGCAACCCGGGAATTTTAATAACGTTTATTTTTTCACACATCTTAGAAAAGTGTTTCTAGTCAAATCATGAGCAGCTGGCTCTGGAAATGCAAAGCTTCAGCCAGTTCCAAGCTCTTTGCCTGGCTGACGAACTTTGGAAATATCAGCTCCCCTTTGACCAAGAGCCAGAACCTCGGCGTCCTCAGCCAAAAAGGCTGTCTTGCGGGGCCGGGAAACGGCAACGAGGACCTGGGTTCTCTTCCGACAGCCCCATTTCCATCAGATGCCCTTTTCCTAATGCCGGGCAGATGATGCAAGGGCAGCAGTGGAAGGGATCCCTCCGCAACCCAGGGATCGGACCAGGGAGCATCGTGTCGGGGACTCCTCTCCTCCTGGTCCGTGGCAGAGAGGGAGCGGGGCACGGAGAACCTCCAAGATCTGCTCCGTGCAGCTACCCACAGCCCCTGTCGCCCAGTAAAGCTAGGGTGGCATTTTCAAACTTTTGTTTGCAATCGTGAGTGCCAGAAACTTTCACTAAACTGTAAGCCGAGAGTCTGACGAGGTCAAACAGTGCCATGAGCTGGAATCTAACTAAGAACGTATGTTGCCTATACTTACATCTGCCTCCTTTTCGGTGAAAGCTATGAATTCTTCCACATTTACCAAAGCCTGCGTTGTCCCGGGGTTAGTCACTGTCTCTTTCTGGTCTTGCCACTACCTCGTAGTAAAGAAATTCCCACCTGTTTTAGTGCCTTGATACATGGGAGCAGGAGACAAAGGCTTTTCCTGTGAAATGAATGTAGCCAGGACAGATATTCAAGCTGCAGCCTGAAACAATCCCTCCTGGCTGAGCAACAAAAAGGACTCTCAGACTCAGAGGATGAAGAGCTGCCAGGTGGCAAAGAGTCTCCCCACTGGAAAAAAACCATCCCCAGTTTTGTGCTGGAGGAGGATGAGAAGGAAGACGGAGAGCCTTCTTCCTAGTAAAAGTCTAATAAAGAACAAGGCCAAGCACCGTGGAGAAGGAAAAGATGGTCCAGCCCCCAACAGACACAACGGGGATGAGCAGGCCATACTCTGCTGCCTTCTTGCATTTAATTTCAAGGCAATGACTGAGTCAGGATGTGAGTCTCCCAGTTGTTTCCTCTGTCTTGCATGGTTTTGGCACACGTGGAAACAAAGCTGGAAATCCCAGCACAAAATGTGCTCCTATGTTGATGGGGACAATCATCCTGCAAACATTCCTTAGGACAATTCGGTGTAAGCCCTTCTCCATGCAGTTGTACAAACAGGGCACCCTGCTTCAGCTGTCGAGGAATAAGGGCAGCAGAGACTCTTACCTGCCTGAGGCTCTCCAGCACTACAACCCCAAGCAGTACACAATTAAGAGATGTGCTTAAAAGAGAACGTTAATTATAAAACCAATTCACTTGTGCTTCTTGTCCTTCATCTTGCGTTTTCAGGATCTTTCAGCCACAGTCACCCATGTGACCTCCTGGTTCCTAAAGCCTGCGTTTTCAGAAAAAGCAAGTATCAAAAGACTTTTCAGCACACCTCTGAGAGCTGGCAGCATTTCACATTTCTCATCTTTCTGGTATGTACCAACACCTAGGGGAGTATTCGCAAAACCCCGAGATCGTCATCAACAGCCCTTCAGGGCTTTTCTAGCTA